AAATTTGATTTGTCCTTTTCATATGTGTTCTTTTTTTTTAATTGTATCCTTTGGTATATATGGTTGTGACTATTTTCTTCTACTATTTGATCTGAGGAAGTGGGTCTGGCCCACGAAAGCTCATCATCTAATAAACCATCTTGTTAGTCTTTAAAGTGCTACATAGTCCTGTATTTTGTTTCAGCTACACCAGACTAACACGGCTACATTTCTATCACATTTCTAAGCAGAATGCCTTGCTGTGATATTTGGTTTCGCTCACTGCTGACTTGCAGTGAAGACATTTTCTTAGCTTTTTGAGCAGGCTGGTGCTTAATTAATAACATTCAGCAGAATTTTACAGGAAGCTCTCAAATTATGGCTAAAAGCAGTTAGCAATGTTCTTACAGACTGTTTAAATCTTTTGGAAGCATATCCAGTAACTTCTAGGCGTGTGTTTCATCCCCTCGTTCTGCTTAAATCAGATTCTTAGTAAAATGTTGTTGCTGCTCTTTGATAGTCATTTGAGCTCTAATAAGAGGTCTCAGATTAATATAATCTAGTGCATTTTCCCCCCACACTGTTAAATTCCCAATCTTCAAACACATGATGCTGGGAGGGGGAGGATGTTTTTCTTTGTGACTTTTCAGTTCTAGAGCTAGCTTGAATTACATCACTAAAACTATCATCACTTAAAGAGTTTTAATGGTGTAACCACTTATTTTTATCATGAAGCTGCATGTGTGAGACCATCTTAAAATTGCCATATATTCTCACCTCTTTGTTTGGGTGAATACATTTTTTAATAATTTCTATAACCTGATTTAGACCCTGAAAAGTGTCTTGTTTAATATACTGATTTCAAGAAAACTCCTTAGCTGAGGCGTGTTTCATTTGCCCACTAACAATTAAAGCTTTTCTTCTTTTGTAGGATGGTGGTCATGACAATAAAATAAACTGTGTAAGGTGGCACCAGGACAATGGTTGTTTATATAGTTGTTCAGAAGACAAACACATTGTGGAATGGAACACACAGACCTACAAAGTGAAGTGGTGAGTGAGACTGGTCTCCAGTCAACAACTTCAGCATTTCTTTTGCACACTCCTTTCCCCTCGTCAAAGCATTTTGCTCAGGTCTAGTTGGAGGTTTCCATATAACAGTTGTTCTGGTTACCATTCAAAATGAAAATATAAGTTTGAATTAGGGATGTTAAATCGTGTATTAATTGGTTAACCATTTGCGGGGTGGAGGACTCACCAGTAGCCCTTGCCTGTGCCCCTTCCCTCTCTGTGAAGCTGCTTCAGCATTCACCAGTTAACTAGAGCCATTAAAGGGGATGCTTACTGGTTAACCTTTCACATCCCTAATTTGAATTACTCAGAACTGGTTTTTGGACTGTTTTTTCAAAACCTGATTTCACAAGCAAATATTCACACATTTTTGAAATATGCCCGTAAGAGTGAACTTGGTTTGCTCTTAATACGTTGTGTGCTGTGCAGAAAGTAGCAAGGGTAGCAAAATTGTCTCAGAGCCATTACCAGTGAAATACAGCAGCTAGCATCCTGTCATGTTGTCTGATTTAAAACTATATGCTTGTACAGTTGCATGTCACAGTTAGGGTTGTCTGTTTTAAATTATAGATACTAACAGTGGCAGGCAGACTATGCACTAGCAAGCTTATCTGTAGAATACTTAAGGCAATGGTGCTGCTGTTCATGTTACTTAGGGAAATGTTGCCTCTGGCTAGTGTAGACTACAGGCAACTGTGGCAGTCTAGACAGATCTGTAAAAATGGCTTATACAGCAGCTAATGGTCATCCTAATTAATGTAGATGGAACTTTAACTTATTTCTTGCAAGAACTAAAACCTTGGAAATAGAACTGGCTTTAAAAAGTAGGAAATCTCAAAAAATTGGTTCTCTCTGCTATGCAATATTGAGTATATTACATAATTTTACTAAACATCATGTTTAATTGGGGACTTCACTGTTGGTGTTGTAGGTCACTTGTTGCTCTGACTTCAACATGTATGGTAGGGTTGCATGGAATGCGGAAGATATAACATGTTAAAGGTTCTGTAAGCCTTTCTTCTAAGTAATGCACAGAAATGACCCTTTAGCTTTACCACTTAAAATGTTTTCAGCAGAACTAAATTTGGCAGAATTCCTGAGTCTACAGGACAACTGCTACTCTACTTGCATCTAAGGATGTTAAGAGGTGGGTAACTGATTAATTGTGTAGTCAATATTGTTTAGTATTGACTAAACAATTAGTTGCTAAGGGAAGATGCTCTTTCCCAGTTTGTGCTGGTCCAGGAGCTACCCCTGCTGCGGTTCTGCAGTTTAAATGTAGTAAGAGCTAGGTGCACATGCAGCCTGGCTTGTACTTACATTTAAAATGCAGAGTTGCAGCAGGGGTAGGTCCCGGATCAGTGCAAGCTGGGATAGAGCCAGGCTTGCTCAGTACTAGCTCACACCAGGTCCAGCAGCTGCTTTCTGTGGGGAGGTTCCAGTGCGGAGCTGTGCCCCCTTGCGGACAGAGGCTGTTCCAGCAGCAGCCCCTGTTCATGGCCAGACCAGCCACCACAAACAGGCCACTGCCAGAGGAGCTCCTGCCTGCGGCCAGCCTGGCTTACCGCAGATAGGGGCTGCTTCATAGCAGCAGCCTCTGCCTGTGGCGAGTCTGGGCCACTGTGGGCAGAAGCTACTTCATGGCAGCCTTCCCCCTCTGCTATCTGTCTTCCCCTCACCCCACTGCTGCCTCTGATAAAGACCGCAACAGGGTGGGAGGCGGCACTCTGGAGACTATGCTGCTCCCCCTTCCCTTGCTGCCTCTAATACAGAGGCAGCAAGTGGCAGGAGGGATGCAATAGTTAGCTCAACTATCCAATAAACTTAGGCTTATCTAGTAGTCGACTACTCGCTTACATCCCTGCTCACATCCTCTTGGTGTAATGACCTATGAGTGTTTATTTCCTCTTACGCTATTGTAACTCAGTCACCATCCAATGTAAGATGCAAAGGGTGTGTGCAGGCACACGGGAAGACTTAACTGTTGCTGCAACTTTCTGTATTAAAAACTTGATCTGTCTTGTGTTGTCACTATTTCAGGCCTTTTCTACTGATGAAACTTGTACTGATAAATGCTCTTGAGTGTATATTCTTAGTCTGGTTTGAGTGAATTATATTAATATAGTTTAAGAATATTCTTCAGCAATGTAAGCCTACATTGATACATCAGTAGGAACTTGATTTATGTTAAATTAACATTAGTCACTCTTAAATGGATTAACAAGTGTTGAATCCAAGGTGATTGTACAAATTTGACTAATAAAGTGTGACGGCGCGTTGGGGTCCCCCGCCTCCTGCACCCCCGTAATGGCACGAACAGACTCCACCAGCCAGTAGAATATAGGTGGTTTATTGCTTCTCCAGTATACAGCACAGCACAGATGTCATCAGGTTACAGGGCAGGCCTAGGATGCCTCAGCCCCCCTTGATATGGGAGGGGGGTCTTGGCTTCTAAACCCCTCAGCCTGTTGCTGAGGCTGCTTCCTCCATCCTCCCAGACAGAAACTAACTCCCTCTCCTCCAGCCCTGCCCCACAGCCAGGGCAGCATCCACCTTCCTTTGTTCCTCTCCATGGGGGTTAGCTGGTCAGACCAGTTGAGAGATCCCTTTGCATAATGACCCATCCCTGTCCTTCTGGGCTGTGGTACTGGCGGCAGCCAGTGGGGTTACCACAGACCCATAGAAGCCAGCAAGTTCCCCCCACTATGTCACAACATTTTAATGGTTTTGTGTGTAAATCGAAGCTCTCTTGTGGGCCCTCACCTTCTGCACTTGCAGTGCCAGAGTGTCACTGCAGAGTGACAGGCCTTCATGTGGTTCTTCACATCCACTGTGGTCTTCAAGATTCTCTCCTGCTTCTTCACTTCCAGCTCCCTGCATGCTCTCCTGTCCTCATGCTCTGCTCTCATCTTATCTTCAGCAGCAGCATATTCTCCACTTGCTTAAGGTTTCCCTCTCCAAGTGGGTGGATGCATTTCTCCTTGAACATGTCATCCGCACTCTGTTTTCGCCTGTGGATTTGTGCCAGTTGGACAGGGGAGTGTGTAACATCTTACTGCTGTTCCCACTAACAGACAATGAAGGACAGACTTTACAGGAGATACATTGAGTGTAAAATCTAATCTGTTAGCAAAAAGGAAAGTCTGTCTAGAGCTGTGGTGCCCAGCCAGTTCTGAAGCAGTAGCCACTATAGTGGCTAAATTGGCCAAATAGCCACATGGTTGAATTGAGTGTGGCTAGTTGTCTTGAACAAATAGCCACATGTGGCTAGCATCTAGCATGTTGGCCATCACAGGTCTAGAGACACTAGGGATGTGTTATGTACAAGGCCACAATTATGCTTTCGAGCAGCCACTATCCAGCAGGTACACCAGAGTTCTTAGGGGAGCAGCTGTCCTCATTTTGGTGGTAGGCATGTTAAGGGACAGGCCAGGACTTGAGCCTGCAAAGGGGGAAGGTGTCCGGGTGTGGTGGCAGGGAATGGGCTTATGTGGCGTCTTGTGTGTTTGGCACATCACCCCTTCCCCTGTTTACTTCGCTTTCCCTTCCCATGGGACCATGCAGGAGGAGAGGGTCTGAGAGTGGTGATAAGGCAGGGTAGGGGCTCAAGCTTAAGGGGCTTCCTTAGGGTTGAGCAAACAGAGGTTTACTGCATATTCATCAGCTAACAGCTTACCCTTCTTTATCCAGGTTTCCATGTGAGATATAAGTCAGCATCTGCTCCTATCACTGTGTGATTCAGAGATGAGTGAATGTGGCCCGAAACCTGGGCCTTATGCTGCAGTGCTTTGTGCTGCAGTGACTCCAGACCACTTACTGCTAGCTTGGCATGGAAAGGTGTCCTACTGTGGAGGACGCAATAAGGCAGGTCTCCCCAGAAACCTTGCGAGAAGAATCAGAGTTCCTCTGAGAGCTTTATGGAGTTGTACAGGGAGCGTTCCTGCTCTGTTTTCAGGCATGTTCTGGGGACGACCTCCCCCCCCCTTCCCCTCCCCCGTATAGGCTGCGAAGATGTCTGTGGAGGAGGTGATTGTCTCCAAAGTTATGAAAAGGTCTTGGTTGTCGGTGACATCGGTAGAAACCTTGCGAGAAGAATCAGAGTTCCTCTGAGAGCTTTATGGAGTTGTACAGGGAGCGTTCCTGCTCTGTTTTCAGGCATGTTCTGGGGACGACCTCCCCCCCCCTTCCCCTCCCCCGTATAGGCTGCGAAGATGTCTGTGGAGGAGGTGATTGTCTCCAAAGTTATGAAAAGGT